GGGAGCCCTCTAACCGGAGAGGGTGGCAACAACCTATCGGATCCTGAAGAAGTTCCTGGTAGGGTGGCAACAGTCTGGGATGATCTATCGCCATCCCGAGAAGTTGAGGGAACCATGATTGTGGGGACCAGTTCGGCCTGATATCTGCAAGAGTGTAGAAGGGCGCGAGGGATAATGGAGAATGGGGGAAAGGCATATAGGAGGTCTCCGCTCCAAACCTGCAGGAAGGTGTCCACTGCCTACGCCGCCGGATCCGGCCTCCAGCTGAAGAATCGAGAGAGCTGGGTGTTGAGCCGGGAGGCGATTAGGTCTATCGCAAAAGGTCCCCAAAGAGACGATATACTGGAGAACACGTTCATGTCCAATTTCCAGTCGCTGGCATCCGATAGATATCGTGAGCCCCAGTCCGCCTGGACTTTGTGCAGTCCTGGCAGGTATTCCGCTTGAACCACCAGGTCCCAGTCTAAGCAAAAGTCCCAAAAGTCTTTCGCCAATCTGGCCAGGACCGCAGATTGAGTACCTCCCAAGTGGTTGACATACCTCACCGCTGATACGTTGTCCATGTGGAGGCGGATGCATGTATGGGCTCTGTCCCTCGCGAATGCATTGATGTGGAGTCGGGATTCTGATTCCGACCAGCGACCCACTGTCGCCACACCTGCGCAATGAGCCCCCCAGTCTTGGAGGCTCGCATCTGAGTCGATAGTGAACTCCGGCATGGAGCCGAAGATTGCCCTGCCGTTCCAAGCAACAGATTGAGGATCCACCATCGCAATTCGTCCTTTGTCTCTTTGTCTAGAGATACCAGGTCCGCGTAGGATGCACCAGCCCTCAGGTGAGCTATTTTTAAGTGTTGCATCGCACGGTAGTGGAGCGGACCTGGGAACACTGCCCGAATGGAGGCTGCTAGGAGGCCGATGAGACGCGCTAGTTGCCTCAAGGTGAGTTGCGGTCATAAGAGAGCCCTGCAGAGCTCCTTGCGTATTGAACGAGTCTTGGACCCTGGAAGGCTCAAAGTGGCCATCTCCGTATCCACTAGGAATCCCAAGAATTCCATGCGAGTGGCGGGAGTCAGGCACGACTTTTCTTGGTTGATAATGAACCCCAGACGGGAGAGCAGGTTCATTGCCAGCCCAGAAGTATATCGTGATCTTGGGCCATGAGCAGGATATCGTCTAGGTATATGATTAGATGAATGTCTCGACTGCGTAGCCAGGCCATGGCTGGGCATAGCAGTTTTGTGAAGCCCCATGGTGCTGATGATAGGCCAAAGGGTAGGCATGTGAATCGCCAAGTCCCTGTCCGCCAATGGAAACACAGGAGATCTCGGGATGCTTCGGCTATAGGCACGGTGAGATATGCATCCTTGTGATCCAGCTTTACCAACCAGTCCCCCTGAAGGAGTAAATCTCTCAACAGATGGATTCCCTCCATCTTGAAATGGCGGTACTTGACCATAGCATTGAGTGGGCGCAGATTTATGACTGGGCGCCCTTCTTTTCCACTAGGAGTCCAGGGGGGCCCGTTCTATCGCTCTCTTGGTGAGGAGCGAGGATAGTTCTTCGTCGATCGACCTGCGATCCCGGATGGAGAAGCAGATCGGTGGAGGTGGCGGGATAGTTACAGGGTTCCCCACAAGGTCTATGTGGAAACCTCGAATGGTGTTTAGTACCCAGGGGTTGGAGGTTAACTGTGCCCAGGCTGGAAAAAAATGTTGGAGTCTGCCCCCTACTTAAACATGTGAAGAAACATGAGGTATGAGTAAACTTACCATAGGGTCTTCTGGAGCCGGTGTTACCCCAGAAACCTCTGGATCGCCACGGGCGTCCACGTGATGGGAAGAATAGGGAGTGGGCATTTGTCTCCTGGAAGTTGGAGCGGTGCTAAAAAGAGCCTCGTCCCGAGCCACGGGACTGAAAGTAGGACCGGCCGGACAGACGGCTCCTGGATCTGCCGGCCCTGGTAGAGACCCTTCCCTGAATAACCCGTCTCATGGAGCTTTGGGCCTTGTCAAGGGCCGTGAATGCCCCCACAAAGCACCCCAGGTCTTTAATGAAGGGGTCACCAAATAATAATCCTTAGGCGTCCTTCCCAGCCTCTGTTTGGGCAAGGTTGGACAGTTTAGGATCTATTTTAAACAAAATGGCTTTACGCCGTTCAATAGAGAGGGAGGTGTTTACGCTCCCGGCGATACAAATAGCCCTTTGGACCCAACCACGGAGGTCTTCGGGGTCAACCATATGGTTTCCAGCTCTGGCATCCTCCGTTCGAAAAGTTTTGCCAGCGGACCAAATATGTCTAAGTGTTTATCCTAGCATGCTTTTAGGGCAGATTCTAGGCCCTTACGTGGGTTCCAGCCCATCTTAGTTAGGAACTGGGTCATTTTTGGATCAACTTCGGGGGTATCACAGACTTTATTTGGCACCTTGGGCACTCTGCCCTCAGTTTGTTCCATGCCGCTTTACTGAGCGGGCGTCGTACCCAATTTTCAAGGTACTTGGCTACATGGTCCGCTGGGAGCCACTCCGCTGATCTCGGATGGTGAAGCTCATCCGGGTCGAAGAGAGGTTCTCCCAACGGATCCAAGAGGGTGGACCCCGCGATTGCGGGGTGAAACGCCCCCATGCCACCTCCGGACATCTCTACCTGAGCAGAGGGAAGGAGGTCAAGGCCCAGCTCAGCGGTCTCAACATCAGAGTCGTCATCCGACTCAACCATAGCCTCTTAACCTGACCTGATTTCTGAGTCGGAGTCACTCTCAGGTTGTGCTCTAGCACATTTCCAGAGCCGCGCCCGTTCTGCCTGGCGCGGAAAGGCTCTTTTGCATGGGTGGGACACGCTTTCTGGGGCGACCGTAGGTACGCCAGTCATAACAGTTCTGGAGGTAGAGGGGTGTTTGGACTTATGGGTCACCTTCTTAGGTCCATAGTGGGACGCGGAAGAGGCGTCGTGGAACCTGACATTTGCGCGTCCAAAGGACATGGCAGGAGGGCTTGGGAGATGGTATGGGAAAGGGTAGAAGACATGGACCCCATAGCTGCCATAATGGCATCTGTCATCGAGCGCTGTAGCGCCAAGAATTGGTCACCTTCAGGTTGGGTGGGTCTATCTGCCAGAGTAGATGGCATATCATAGATGACAGGGGTCTCTCCCAGAGGCAAAGGGGCATCTATCACCCCAGAGGGTGGTGAGCTAGAAGGCATCCTGGGTTTGGGCATAATGGATGCAGCTCAAAATTCCTACCAGTGAGGTATAGTCACCCAAACTATAGGGAACAAGAATGATAGGGATCTCACCAGGGTCCAGACCAGAGGCACACAGACACACACGAGGTAGTATGAGAGACAGGAAGTCAGAAAATGGCCGCCGCAAGTCTCGCGAGATTCGCAGCAAAACCAGTGAATTCGGCAATAGAAAAGAACCGAATGTGCAGTAAAATAGGTGAATTCGCGTGAATAAAACAGGCGAGTGTAAAAACAGGCGAATGTAAAAACAGTCGAATGAGTAAAACGCACAAATCAATTAGTCGAACGCGGCAAATAGGCGAATGTGCTATATGCCAGTGAAACTAATGAATGGTCTGAATTCGTGAATTCAGCCGGACGGCATGATACATGCACAAAACAGCCGAAAGGAACGGGGAAAGCAGCGCAAAATTGTGCCAGAGGACAGGGAGAGGAGAGATGGCGAGAAAAAGAATAAGAGGTAGAAGTAATCATAGAAGAAGTCAAAACTGAGAGTGCATAGATAGATATTTCACACAGGAGGTCTGGAACCCTGGGAGACAAAACCATATGTGTATACAGACATACAATAAACATAAATAGATAAACTGAGGAGAAAAAAAATTATTAATAGAATCAAATAGAAGAATAGTATTGAATCTGTCAATAAGGAAGCAATACAATAATAAATGGCAATAAATAGCATAATAACAACCATAACTGACACAATAAACAAGTAGTCAATGAGAGGAAAAATGTGAGCTGTTACTTATCTTTGGAGCAGCAAAGAAAGAGGGAAATGGAAGGGAAGTGCTGCCTATTATACTGGGGCATGTGCAGGGAGGGGCCTATGTCACTGTATGTTCATTGTTTTTTCATTCTGTTTATATCCTTTGCTGCTATTGGTGGACAGTAAAGAAAGGGATATGCAATATGAGCCTCCGTGTCTTGTCATAAAATTGTATTTCTAGTGTAACTTTGATGCAATCATAGGCAGACTGACCACTCGGGCAGATCAATAATGGACCGAGGCAGTCCGTGGTCAGGCTGAACAGCCATGCTCTGGCTGAGAGGATCTGAAATGTCCCCAGCCAGAAAACATAATTGCTCACATATTCCAGCAATAGGTTGAAGTGCACCTGCAACATATCACACTTTAAGTGACCCCCAACCTCTCATCTTTCTCAGTGAGACCTTGAAGCAATCATTCAGTGATCGTTAGGTCTCCTTCCCCTGTGTGGTGCTCTTTGTGAGGTGGAAGAGGCAGGGCCGGTGCAAGGATTTTTGCCGCCCTAGGCAAAAGTAAAGTTTGCCGCCCCCCTCCTCCCCCCCGTGACATCGCAATGCCCCACCCATATGACCTGCCATGTTAACTAACGCTAGTGCTGCAGTGCCGCTGTGTTTACATTAAAAGGCCTGCAGGGACAGGCTATAGACACCAGGACCACTACATTAAGGTGCAGTGGTTCTGGGGACTATAGTGTTTCTTTAATGTGAGGTAAATTAGAAATTAGTGCCACGAATAATATACTAGATTACCTACTTACAAGCAGATGAGGATGATGATGGGCTCTAGCTGCAGTCTGGCTCCACTGGTCTGGTGTATAACAGGATCTCAGGAGGCTGTTTGTAACTGTGGTCACAAAAATCAATGTTCTGGGAGAACGAGAAGCAGCTCCATTTTTTGGGGGCCCTTTACACAGCTCAAGGTCTGGGTCCCAGGGTCCACCTTCATTTTCCACCAATGAGTTTGTTCACAGGGGATGGAGTGTGTAGGGGAATGTCCTGATTTGTGTGTAAGGAATGCATTGTGTGAATCTGTGTTTGTATGTGTAAGGGCTGCAAGGTGTGTTTCTGTGTATGTAAGGGATAAAGTGTGTGAGTCTGTAAGGGGTGCATTGAGTGTGTGTAAGGAATGCATTGTGTGTTTCTGTGTGTGCAAGGGATGCATTGTGTGTAAGGGTTGCATTGCGTGTGTGTGTGTAATGCATTGTGTGTTTTTCTGTGTGCAAGGAGTTCATTGTCTTTGTGTGTAAGGGGTGCATTGTGTGTGATTGTGTGTGTGTGTGTGATGGATGTCAATCTCTCCCCCCTCCCTTGTCACTCTCTTCTCCCCCCCCTCCCTTGTTACTCTCATTCCCCCTCCCTCCCCTGTCACTCCCCCCTCCCTGTCAATTTCTCTCTCCCCGTCAATTCCCCTCCCTGTCAATGTCTCCCCCCGTTAGTTTCTTTCCCCCCCACCTCCCTGTTAGTTTCTTTCTCCCCCCTCCCCTGTCAGTTTCTTTCTTCCCCCCTCCCCTCCCTGTTTCTTTCTTCCCCTCCTGCCTCCCCTGTTTCTTTCTTCCCCCCTCC